CAGATGTAGATGTCACTGGTTTTTCACGTTCTGCAAATCCTTAGACTCTCGGTCCGAACGGGCAACTGGACATACGGACCATGTCTGTTCGTAAATCTGAAAGTTCGTAAGTCAAATGTTCGTAAGTAGAGGTGTCTCTGTATTTGCATTTTTTCTTTTTACAAAATTGGGTGGCGTTTGATTGGCGTGGCTCTGCTATCCACTTACAGCCTTCTGCGTTGGACTAGGAAAGTGTTTCCCGACTGCAATTTTTGTGCAAACTCAATGTTCTTACCTTAAACGTAATCTATACCCATATTGGTGGTTTTTGGCAGAGAGATCCACGGAAAAGGGATATTTTTTCTTTTCCGCGGCCGTCCTCCCCGGCATTAACGCCGAATCATCGAGATCCTCCTGTACTCGCATAAGGACCCTGTATACTCAGACCCAAAAAATGTTAACGTTTTGTTATGATGTTATTGCAACGGAAACGCGAGCCCGGTGCAACGTGCTGTGGGCAATTCTAGATTTAAAGCTTTCGTGACTGCTAGGATCCATACTCTTTGGTTCTATTGGGTAAAGTCACGTAGGATGTGTATACTTTAACTTAGCTATTTCAATGAGCCATTTCAATGCTAAATTATATGCTAATTCCTTTGTCAAGGCGCTTTGTTTTCTTCTCACACAGCTTAAAGGTCGTGATCTGAGCGTGGCTTTTTTCACTCCAGCGCTGTCCTCCAGACAGTCTCGTCCCTTCACCTGATGAAGGCCGCTTGTGTTGTGGCCGAAACGTCGTGATTTTTGTTATTTTATTTTTTACCTACGTGACTTTACCCAATAGAACCAAAGAGTGTGCTGTGGGCAATCCGCGACAGTTCCCAGTCGAGTCTATGGGTCTCTGCGTGAGTCTATGTGTCTCTGCGTGAGTCTGTGAGTCTCTGCGTGAGTCTATGGGTCTCTGCGTGAGTCTATGGGTCTCTGCGTGAGTCTATGGGTCTCTGTGTGAGTCTATGGGTCTCTGTGTGAGTCTATGGGTCTCTGCGTGAGTCTATGGGTCTCTGCGTGAGTCTATGGGTCTCTGCGTGAGTCTATGGGTCTCTGCGTGAGTCTATGGGTCTCTGCGTGAGTCTATGGGTCTCTGTGTGAGTCTATGGGTCTCTGCGTGAGTCTATGGGTCTCTGTGTGAGTCTATGGGTCTCTGTGTGAGTCTATGGGTCTCTGAGTGAGTCTATGGGTCTCTGCGTGAGTCTATGGGTCTCTGCGTGAGTCTATGGGTCTCTGCGTGAGTCTATGGGTCTCTGCGTGAGTCTATGGGTCTCTGCGTGAGTCTGAGTCTCTGCGTGAGTCTATGGGTATCTATGTGTGAGTCTATGGATCTCTGTGTGAGTCTATGGGTCTCTGCGTGAGTCTGTGGGTCTCTGCGTGAGTCTGCGGGTCTCTGCGTGAGTCTGCGTGTCTCTGCGTGAGTCTGTGGGTCTCTGCGTGAGTCTGTGTGTCTCTGCGTGAGTCTATGGGTCTCTGCGTGAGTCTATGGGTCTCTGCGTGAGTCTATGGGTCTCTGCGTTAGTCTGTGGGTCTCTGCGTGAGTCTGTGGGTCTCTGCGTGAGTCTGTGGGTCTCTGCGTGAGTCTGTGGGTCTCTGCGTGAGTCTGTGGGTCTCTGCGTGAGTCTATGGGTCTTTGCGTGAGTCTTTGGGTCTCTGCGTGAGTTTATGGGTCTCTGTGTGAGTCTATGGGTCTCTGTGTGAGTCTATGGGTCTCTGCGTGCGTCTATGGGTCTCTGCGTGAGTCTATGGGTCTCTGCGTGAGTCTATGGGTCTCTGCGTGCGTCTATGGGTCTCTGCGTGAGTCTATGGGTCTCTGTGTGAGTCTATGGGTCTCTGCGTGAGTCTATGGGTCTCTGCGTGAGTCTATGGGTCTCTGCGTGAGTCTATGGGTCTCTGCGTGCGTCTATGGGTCTCTGCGTGAGTCTATGGGTCTCTGCGTGAGTCTATGGGTCTCTGTGTGCGTCTATGGGTCTCTGCGTGAGTCTATGGGTCTCTGCGTGAGTCTATAGGTCTCTGTGTGAGTCTATGGGTCTCTGTGTGAGTCTATGGGTCTCTGCGTGAGTCTATGGGTCTCTGCGTTAGTCTATGGGTCTCTGCGTGAGTCTGTGGGTCTCTGCGTGAGTCTGTGGGTCTCTGCGTGAGTCTGTGGGTCTCTGCGTGAGTCTATGGGTCTCTGCGTGAGTCTATGGGTCTCTGTGTGCGTCTATGGGTCTCTGCGTGAGTCTATGGGTCTCTGCGTGAGTCTATGTGTCTCTGTGTGAGTCTATGGGTCTCTGCGTGAGTCTGTGTGTCTCTGCATGAGTCTATGGGTCTCTGTGTGAGTCTATGGGTCTCTGTGTGCGTCTATGGGTCTCTGCGTGAGTCTATGGGTCTCTGTGTGCGTCTATGGGTCTCTGCGTGAGTCTATAGGTCTCTGTGTGAGTCTATGGGTCTCTGTGTGAGTCTATGGGTCTCTGCGTGCGTCTATGGGTCTCTGCGTGAGTCTATGGGTCTCTGTGTGAGTCTATGGGTCTCTGCGTGAGTCTATGGGTCTCTGCGTGAGTCTATGGGTCTCTGCGTGAGTCTATGGGTCTCTGTGTGCGTCTATGGGTCTCTGCGTGAGTCTATGGGTCTCTGCGTGAGTCTATGGGTCTCTGTGTGCGTCTATGGGTCTCTGCGTGAGTCTATGGGTCTCTGCGTGAGTCTATAGGTCTCTGTGTGAGTCTATAGGTCTCTGTGTGAGTCTATGGGTCTCTGTGTGAGTCTATGGGTCTCTGCGTGAGTCTATGGGTCTCTGCGTTAGTCTATGGGTCTCTGCGTGAGTCTGTGGGTCTCTGCGTGAGTCTGTGGGTCTCTGCGTGAGTCTGTGGGTCTCTGCGTGAGTCTATGGGTCTCTGCGTGAGTCTATGGGTCTCTGCGTGAGTCTATGTGTCTCTGTGTGAGTCTATGGGTCTCTGCGTGAGTCTGTGTGTCTCTGCATGAGTCTATGGGTCTCTGCGTGAGTCTATGGGTCTCTGTGTGCGTCTATGGGTCTCTGCGTGAGTCTATGGGTCTCTGTGTGCGTCTATGGGTCTCTGCGTGAGTCTATAGGTCTCTGTGTGAGTCTATGGGTCTCTGTGTGAGTCTATGGGTCTCTGCGTGAGTCTGTGTGTCTCTGCATGAGTCTATGGGTCTCTGTGTGCGTCTATGGGTCTCTGTGTGCGTCTATGGGTCTCTGCGTGAGTCTATGGGTCTCTGCGTGAGTTTATGGGTCTCTGCGTGAGTCTATGGGTCTCTGTGTGAGTCTATGGGTCTCTGCGTGAGTCTATGGGTCTCTGCGTGAGTCTATGGGTCTCTGCGTGAGTCTGTGGGTCTCTGCATGAGTCTATGGGTCTCTGTGTGAGTCTATGGGTCTCTGCGTGCGTCTATGGGTCTCTGCGTGAGTCTATGGGTCTCTGCGTGAGTCTGTGGGTCTCTGCGTGAGTTTATGGGTCTCTGCGTGCGTCTATGGGTCTCTGCGTGAGTCTATGGGTCTCTGCGTGAGTCTATGGGTCTCTGCGTGAGTCTATGGGTCTCTGCGTGAGTCTATGGGTCTCTGTGTGCGTCTATGATATCTCAACGAGGTGGCTTGTGTCATCATCGCGTGGTCATTCACAACAGCCAAATACTGTAAACGCGTGGTGACGTTGATTCCAAATGTGGATGAGGGTAAAACCGGAGGACCCGCAGAAAAGTCTACGTGACCTCGGGGAGTGAGAACACACAAACTCCAATCATACAGGCCCACTGTTTGTTTGGCAATTGTGGAGTGTTTCTAATGGTGATTGTGGAATGTAGTAGATTTATATAATGTTAATTGAGCAGTATAGTAGTTGTATAGAATGGTAATTGTGGAGTGTAGTAGTTGTATATGATGGTAACTGTGGAGTGTAGTAGTTGTATATGATAGTAATTGTGGAGTGTAGTAGTTGTATATGATGGTGATTGTGGAGTGTAGTAGTTGTATAGAATGGTAATTGTGGAGTGTAATAGTTGTATATGATGGTAATTGTGGAGTGTAGTAGTTGTATATGATGGTAATTGTGGAGTGTAGTAGTTGTATATGATGGTGATTGTGCAGTGTAGTAGTTGTATAGGATGGTAATTGTGGAGTGTAGTAGTTGTAAATGATGGTAATTGTGGAGTGTAGTAGTTGTATATGATGGTAATTGTGGAGTGTAGTAGTTGTATATGATGGTGATTGTGGAGTGCAGTAGTTGTATATGATGGTAATTGTGGAGTGTAGTAGTTGTATATGATGGTAATTGTGGAGTGTAATAGTTGTATATGATGGTGATTGTGGAGTGTAGTAGTTGTATATGATGGTAATTGTGGAGTGTAATAGTTGTATATGATGGTGATTGTGGAGTGTAGTAGTTGTATATGATGGTGATTGTGGAGTGTAGTAGTTGTATATGATGGTAATTGTGGAGTGTAGTAGTTGTATATGATGGTGATTGTGGAGTGTAGTAGTTGTATAGAATGGTAATTGTGGAGTGTAGTAGTTGTATATAATGGTTATTGTGGAGTGTAGTAGTTGTATAGAATGGTAATTGTGGAGTGTAGTAGTTGTATAGAATGGTAATTGTGGAGTGTAGTAGTTGTATATGATGGTAATTGTGGAGTGTAGTAGTTGTATATGATAGTGATTGTGTAGTGTAGTAGTTGTATATGATGGTAATTGTGGAGTGTAGTAGTTGTATATGATGGTAATTGTGGAGTGTGTTGTATATGATGGTAATTGTGGAGTGTAGTAGTTGTATATGATGGTAATTGTGGAGTGTAGTAGTTGTATATGATGGTAATTGTGGAGTATAGTAGTTGTATAGAATGGTAATTGTATAGTGTAGTAGTTGTATATGATGGTAATATTGGAGTGTAGTAGTTGTATATGATGGTGATTGTGGAATGTAATAGTTGTATATGATGGTTACTGTGTTGTACGCGTTGTGTGATGAGCTGGTGCCTCTCACCTGCAGGAGGAAGTGAGCCTCTCTGGATACAAAAAGCACATCAAGCTGAGCAACGCGCCCAACCCCCTCACGGCCGCCGAGGCCGAGCTGCAGAAGCTGAAGCTCAACGAGGTGAGAGAGCAGCCGGGACAAGCGGGGAGTCGTGGGGGAGACGGGGGAGAGACGTGGGGGAGACGTGGGGGAGACGCGGGAGAGACATGGGGAAACGCGGGAGAGACGTGGGGAGATGCGGGGAGACACGGGGGTGACGCGGGAGAGACATGGGGAAACGCAGGGGAGATGCGGGGAGACGCGGGGAAATGCGGGGAAACGCATGGGAGACGTGGGGAGACACGGGGGAGATGCGGGGGATACTCGGCGGAGACGTGGGAGACGAGGGGGAGACATGGCGGAGACGCGGGGATAAGTGGGGAAGACACGGGGGACACGCAGGCAGGAGCAGGGGAGACTCGGGGAGGTGCGGGGAGGAGTGGGGAGGGGCAGGGATACGCGGGGACAAGTGGGGAGACGCTGGGAGATGTGCAGAGGAGTGGGAAGGCGCGGGGAGATGTGGGGAAGGAAATGGGAGATGCGGCCACACAGGAAGGAGCAATGCGGAACGGGGAGACACGGGGAGGCACGGGGAGACACGGGGAGACACGGGGAGACACGGGGAGACACGGGGAGGCACGGGGAGGCACGGGGAGACACGGGGAGGCACGGTGAGGCACGGGGAGGCTCGGTGAGACACGGTGAGACACGGGGAGGCACGGGGAGACACGGGGAGGCACACCAAGGCACCGAGAGAAACGGGGAGACGCGGTTGGAATGAGGACATGCCGGGAGCAAGACGGAGGCAGGGAAGAACAGGAAGGAGCAAAGACACGGCCAGACAATCGGAGGCATGGGGAGACACTGGAAGGAACAGTGACACGCAAACAAAGCTCCTCCTTGTTCACTTAATAGACTGTTGGGACAAGTGTTGTTAGCAAGCAGCTACGAAGACCGGCACAGTACCTGAGACACACACGTACATACACATACCACACCAGGTACTCATTTCAGGCTGAGTCGACCTAGGAGAGGAGGCCCAGGACCAGTTCAGATATTCGTCACTGATGTTGGCCGTGAGCGGGAATCGAAGTCGGGTCGCCGGGTTCATAGCGCAGAGCGTTAACCGCTACACTACCACTCCCCGGTGATGCACACGCACACAGACACACACAAGACACGCACATAGACACTCACAGCAGACACTCACACACAGACACTCACACACAGACACTCACACACAGACACACACACACAGACACACACAAGACACGCACACACAGACACTCACACACAGACACGCACACACAGACACGCACACACAGACACACACACACAGACACGGACACACAGACACACAACAACAACCGCCATTCGCCACTAAGTGGCGGTGACGTCACCACGACGCTTGTGCCAGGCTATGTGCACCCTGAGGCCACGTGAAGTGTCGAACGCCCGCTGGCAGGAGGTCACGGGGCAGACCCAGGTGCCACGGGTCGACTGACTGAGATGACTGGCTGATGCACCACCTGTGCCCCCTACTGTGCCAACCTGCTGTGCTTTAGCCACCCGGCGCTCCGCTCGTTGTTCTGAGCGTCGCTCCTCCGCCCTCCGTTGTTGTTGGAGGGCGACTGCCTCCAACTGCCCAGTAGCATCCTTCACGAGCCTCCTCCACAGAGGCCGATCTTGACACCGCTGGTACCAGTCATCGGCAAGTCCACTCAGCTCCACGTCCTCCTGCACCACATCACTCCATCTCTTCTCTAGCCCGCGCCCGCTTAGCCCCCTCAATCCGGCCAAACAAAAGTTGTTTCGGCATGCGGTGGCTGGGCATGCGGGCTATATGACCCAGCCATCGCAGCCTTGCCCGCCGGAGGAGCTCACCGATGGGACCCTGCCCAGATCTTTCAAGGATTTGTGAGCTCCTCACACAATCCTGTCTGGTTAAACCCAGGATGGATCGTAGGCAGGCCAGCCTAAATGTTTCTAACCGGCGAAGATGTTCCATTAGGGGGGTCCACGTTTCGCAAGCGTAGAGAAGGGAGGGAATAACCGTGGCCGAGAAGACCTGAAGCTTAGTGCGGAGCGACAGACCAGGTAGCTTCCACACAGCGTTACACAACCGATGAAAAGATATTGCCGCTCGACTGATTCGGAGTGAGACCTCTGCTGTTAAACTGGAGCCGGTCATAAGCACACTGCCCAGGTATGGGAAACTCTCCACTCTCTCCACAACTGCCCCATCACCGATTGGGAGTTGTGGGGGTGGAGTGTTCGATGGTACAAAATACCCAGGCAGGTGCTTAGTTTTGGTGGGTCTGATGGTAAGGCCCCATCTCTTAGTAGCACGCTCCAGTCTCAGCAGCAGCGTCTCCAACTCCTCGTCTGAGCAGCTATTACCAAATCATCGGCATACATAACGTGGTTGAGCAATAGGGAGCCATCCCTTGACCGCACCCGGGCATCGATCAGCCTCCCATTATATCTTTACCATATGGAGATTCCCCCAGTACAGCTATTGAAGGCTTCACGAACTACGTCGTCAAATTAGATGTTAAATAATGTGGGAGCCAGAGGACATCCCTGTCGCACCCCAAGGTGTACAGGGAATGGCTCTGACTCCCGGCCACGTAGTTTTTCCTGGGCCCGCTCACCATCATGAAGGTCCTTAATGATCGTGAGCAGAGAGCCAGGTACTCCAAAAGCACGAAGAACAACCCAGAGCCCAGGCCTACTGATGGTATCATAGGCCTTGACCAGGTCAGCAGACACTCACACACAGACACGCGCACACAGACAAAGATCCCCCATATAGCCTTGACAGACTGTAGGAGCAAGTGCTGTTAGCAAGCACCTATGAAGGCCGGAACGGTACACGAGGGGGTGGGTGGCCAGCGCCACGCCCGACCGCCTTTGTCTCCCTAGTGGCAATGTTTACACACCACACCAGGTACTCATTTGAGGCTGAGTCGACCTAGGGGAGGCCCGGGACCGGTTCAGATAATCGTCACTGGTGTTGGCCGTGAGCGGGAATCGAACCCGGGTCGCCAGGTTCATAACGCAGCGCGCTAACCGCTACACACGCGCACAGACACGCACGCACAGACACGCACGCACAGACCGCACGCACAGACACGCACACACAGACACGCACACACAGACACGCACACACAGACACTCACACACAGACATGCACACACAGACACGCACACACAGACACACACGCACAGACAAGCATGCACAACAACAACAACAACAACCGCCATTCGCCACTAAGTGGCGGTGACGTCACCACGACGCTTGTGCCAGGCTATGTGCACCCTGAGGCCACGTGAAGTGTCGAACGCCCGCTGGCAGGTGGTCACGGGGCAGACCCAGGTGCCACGGGTCGACTGACTGAGATGACTGGCTGATGCACCACCTGTGCCCCCTACTGTGCCAACCTGCTGTGCTTTAGCCACCCGGCGCTCCGCTCGCTGTTGTGAGCGTCGCTCCTCCGCCCTCCGTTGTTGTTGGAGGGCGACTGCCTCCAACTGCCCAGTAGCATCCTTCACGAGCCTCCTCCACAGAGGCCGATCTTGACACCGCTGGTACCAGTCATCGGCAAGTCCACTCAGCTCCACGTCCTCCTGTACCACATCACTCCATCTCTTCTCTAGCCCGTGCCGCGCCCGCTTAGCCCCCTCAATCCGGCCAAACAAAAGCTGTTTCGGCATGCGGTGGCTGGGCATGCGGGCTACATGACCCAGCCATCGCAGCCTTGCCTCCCGGAGGAGCTCACCGATGGGACCCTGCCCAGATCTTTCAAGGATTTGTGAGCTCCTCACACAATCCAGTCTGGTTAAACCCAGGATGGATCGTAGGCAGGCCAGCCTAAATGTTTCTAACCGGCGAAGATGTTCCATTAGGGGGGTCCACGTTTCGCAAGCGTAGAGAAGGGAGGGAATGACCGTGGCCGAGAAGACCTGAAGCTTAGTGCGGAGCGACAGACCAGGTAGCTTCCACACAGCGTTACGCAACCGATGAAAAGATATTGCCGCTCGACTGATTCGGAGTGAGACCTCTGCTGTTAAACTGGAGCCAGTCATAAGCACACTGCCCAGGTATGGGAAACTCTCCACTCTCTCCACAACTGCCCCATCACCGATTGGGAGTTGTGGGGGTGGAGTGTCCGATGGTACAAAATACCCAGGCAGGTGCTTAGTTTTGGTGGGGCTGATGGTAAGGCCCCACCTCTTAGTGGCACGCTCCAGTCTCAGCAGCAGCGTCTCCAACTCCTCCTCTGACTGAGCAGCTATTACCAAGTCATCAGCATACATAACGTGGTTGAGCAATAGGGAGCCATCCCTTGACCGCACCCGGGCATCGATTAGCCTCCCATTATATCTGTACCATATGGAGATTCCCCCGGTACAGCTAATGAAGGCTTCACGAACTACGTGGTCAAAATAGATGTTAAATAATGTGGGAGCCAGAGGACATCCCTGTCGCACCCCAAGGTGTACAGGGAATGGCTCTGACTCCCGGCCACGTAGTTTTACCCGGGCCCGCTCACCATCATGAAGGTCCTTAATGATCGTGAGCAGAGGGTCAGGTACTCCAAAAGCACGAAGAACGACCCAGAGCCCAGGCCTACTGATGGTATCATAGGCCTTGACCAGGTCAATAAAGCAGAGATGTAGGTCTTGTTGGAATTCCCTACACCTCTGCTGTAGCAGACGGACAGAAAATATGGCATCTGTGCAGGACCGCCCTTTCCTGAAACCGCATTGGGGCTCCGCAAGCCTCTCCTCAGCATGCCTGGCAAGGCGATGCTGAATAATCCTTGCCAGGACCTTTCCCGGCACACTGAGGAGTGAGATGCCCCTGTAGTTGTTACAGTCTGTGCGGTCCCCCTTCTTAAAAAGGGGGACCACCAGGGCATCCTTCCAATCCTGCGGAACCCGTCCAGTGGTCCAGACTGTTGTTATGATGTCATATAGGGCAGTCTGTGCACAAACGCCACCCTCCCTCAGCATTTCGCTTGGGAGATCATCTCTGCCCGCTGCCTTTCCTGGTCTCAGACTCCGGATCGCCTTCAATACTTCCTCAGCAGATGGCACCTCAGCCAGCCACTCACAGGGGGTGACTTCATCCAATATTTGAGGCACCGCAGCCTCAGCAGGGTCATCCTCACTTTGTGCGACGGTGTTTTCCTGGCTGAGGGATTTTCCCTCCCCCAGGACCTCACAGAAATGCTCAGCAAATCTGCGAACCTGTTCCTGGGGGTCGGAAATTGGATCACCGTTTTTTCCCCTAATGATGGTAATAGGTGTGGCGCTGCAGGTTACTTTTTTGATGGAGTTAAATAGAGATTTGTGATCACGGGCCACTGAGGCAGACTCCATCTCCTCAGCAACCCGCGACCACCACCCATCCTTGCAGCGCCTCACGGCTCTCCGAACCTCCGAGCGAAGGCTGCGGTAAGCCTCCTCATTCTCTGACGTGGGATTCTGTAGCCGATGACAGTGGGCCTGTCGCTTTTTCTCAACCATCCTGAACAACTCCTCTGTCATCCAGGGTGTCTGGGGAGGTCTGGACCGCGTACCCAAAGCAGCCATTGCAGCTGCATGAGTCACAGTCCTAAACCTCGCCCATTTACCCTCGACATCCGGAGGAGTCGGGGACGATGCCAATCCCAGCCGCAAGCGATGATGAAATTCTCGCTTGCAACTTTCATCAGATAACTGAGACCAGGCCACTTTAGGTTGGAATGGGGTCCTGGGTGTACACCCACCACCGGAGTGGAAGAATGGCAGGCGCATCTTACAGATGACTAGTCGATGGTCAGAAGGCAGATCAGCTCCACGGTAGGTCCTGGTGTCAAGGACATGGGCTCGCATTCGCTGGTCCGTCACTATGTAGTCCAGCAGATGTTCTTGCTTGGACCCGGCATGCATCCATGATGTTGTGTGGATGCGCCGATGCCGGAACAGCGTGTTGGTAATTACAAGCCCATGGGCTGCACAACAATCTAGCAGCCTCCTACCGTTGTTATTGAGCTGATCTGGCCCATGCCCTCCAATCACTCCAGACCAGGTGCCAGTATCATGACCAACTCGGGCATTGAAGTCACCCAACATGATGACTCTATCCCGAGGGGCCACTTTAGCCAGCACCTGTGACAGGAGGTCATAGAAGGCATCTGACTCATCGGCTTTGCCTGCATCCCTCCACGGATGTTCATCTTCGGTGGGGGCATAAGTAACCACGACCACCATTCCTCGCCTCCGGTTGATGGGAAGGCGAGCCCAAAGTAGCCTGGGGCTTACAGCTTCCCACACCTCACCGCCACGCTCCCACGCCCCCTTCATTTTTTTGTTCAAAAGAAGACCCACACCCTGTTGTTTGGCAGTCTGCTGCCCCGAGTAAAGGACTGTCCACCCCTCATGGTGGCAGGAGCCAGAGCCGGTCCACCGGACCTCCTGAATGCCGCATAGATCCAGGCGGTACCGGTCCAGCTCCCGACAGAGGAGTGGCAGCCTCTCCTCTGCAGTGAGCGTTCGAACATTCCACGTGGCCACCCGTAGCCACTCACACACAGACACGCACGCACAGACACGCGCGCACAGACACGCGCACACAGACACACGCGCACAGACACGCACGCACAGACACGCACGCACAGACCGCACGCACAGACACGCACACACAGACACGCACACACAGACACTCACACACAGACACTCACACACAGACACGCACACACAGACACGCACACACAGACACACACGCACAGACACGCACGCACAGACACTCACACACAGATACGCACACACAGATACTCACACACAGACACGCACGCACAGACACGCGCACACAGACACGCGCACACAGACACGCGCACACAGACACGCACACACAGACACGCGCACACAGACACGCGCACACAGACACGCACACACAGACACGCGCACACAGACATGCGCACACAGACACGTACGCACAGATACGCACAGCAGACACAGACACGCACAAGACACGCACGCACAGCAGACACTCGCGCACAGACACGCACGCACAGACACACACAAGACACTCACACACAAGACACTCACACACAGACACGCACACACAGACACTCACACACAGACACTCACACACAGACACACACAAGACACTCACACACAAGACACTCACACACAGACACGCACGCACATCCACGCACAGCAGTCGCACGGTGGTGCCCTGCTGGGAGAGCAGCGTGAGCCGGCGTGAGTGAGATCACCCCGGCCCGGCCCGTCTCTCCCCCCCCCCCCCGTCCAACGCCACCCTCCCCGTGCAGGTGAAGACGGACATCAGCGTGGACAGCAAACAGCAGACGCTGCAGGGCGTCTCCTTTCCCATTCAGGAGCGGGCGCTGCAGGCGCTGCAAAGGTTCAGCAAGGGAGAGGTCAACTACGTGCAGCTGGTGCGGGCAACCCCATGGGCGTGGACGCGACGCGCACTCGGTTCGGGACGACCCGGGTTCGATTCCCGCTCGCGGCCAACACCAGTGACGATTATCTGAACCGGTCCCGGGCCGCCCCTAGGTCGACTCAGCCTCAAATGAGTACCTGGTGCGGTGTGTAAATATCGCCACTAGGGAGACAAAGGCGGTCGGGCGTGGTGCTGGCCACCCACCCCCTCGTGTGCCGTTCCGGCCTTCATAGGTGCTGCTCGCTAACAGCACTTGCCCCTACAGTCTGTTAAGGCTACACGGGGGATCTTTGTTTGATCTTTGTTACCGTGCGCGCTAGCGTGTGGGGAGCGGTGGTGTAGGGGTCAGCACGCCGCGCTCCGAACCCGGCAACCCGGGTTCGATTCCCGCTCGCGGTCAACGTCGGTGACGATTATCTGAACCGGTCCTGGGCCTCCCCCAGGTCGACTCGGCCTCAAGTGAGTGCGCAGTGTGTAGTAAACATCGCCACTCGGGAGACAAAGGCAGTCGGGCGTGGGTGCTGGCCACCCACCCCCACGTGTGCCGTTGCCAGCCTTCATAGGCGCTCGCTAACAGCACTTGCCCCGACAGTCTGTTGCAGGCTACACGGGGGATCTTTGCTGCCACGGCTCTTTACGACTGCTCGGTCGCCAAAGGATTTGCACTGCCGATGAGTTGTTTGGTATCGCACGGCCACCGTCCTCGGCCGCTGCTGTGAAACTGCTGCGGCCTGCGTGTCTGTGCGAAAGGCCACCGGCGCCTTCCCTTGCGGCAACAGCCCCCGTGCTGTGGGGACATCGAGCTCCGGTCGTCCTCGCTGCAACGTCGCCTTTTAGCTGCCCATCGAGCAAAGGCGGGCGCCGCATCGTCCCGCTCGCAGATGCGCTTCTGCGGCCGTCTGGAACGCTCTTCCCATATTGGGAAGCCGCTGGAGCTATGCACTTTTAAATCTTGATTGAAAACTCATTTCTTTTTCAACTGCTTTTCGTGCTTTGGTTTGTTGTCCTTCGCCCGCACCTCCGGATTTCGGACGGTTGTTTACGTGCGGTGGGACAGAACCGGTTACCGGTTCATGAAGTCGGGGACCAGTAAATCATTCCCATGGAATTCTAGTGAGGAACAGAAGCGGTTCATGCTCACCGCTGCACCACCCACCGTGGTAACACGCCTCGCGTTTACCGCTCCAGAAAGTTTTTTGTACTTGCGGTAAACCGGTACTAACCGGTTAATGACCGGTTCTGTTATTGCGGTTACAGGTGACGCAAACAAACGGTTGTAGGAAGTGGCGTGGGGAGCGGTGGCACAGCGGTTAGCGCTTCGCTGCCCTACGAACCCGGCCACCAACATCGGCGACGATCGTCTCGGCCGGCGTGCGTGGCGAGTGTGAGAGTGTGTGAACGTGCTTGCGATTGTGCGAGCGAGTGTCAGAGCGTGCGTGCGAGCAGGTGTCATAGTGTGTGTGCGAGTGTCAGAGCGTGCGTGCGAGCGGCTGTCATAGCGTGTGTGCGAGTGTCAGAGCGTGCGTGCGAGCGGCTGTCAGAGCGTGCGTGCGAGCGGCTGTCAGAGCGTGCGTGCGAGCGGCTGTCAGAGCGTGCGTGCGAGCGGGTGTCATAGCGTGTGTGCGAGTGTCAGAGCGTGCGTGCGAGCGGGTGTCAGAGCGTGTGTGCGAGTGTCAGTGCGTGCGTGCGAGCGTGTGTGCGAGTGTCAGAGCGTGCGTGCGAGTGGGTGTCAGAGCGTGCGTGCGAGCGTGTGTGCGAGTGTCAGAGCGTGCGTGCGAGTGGGTGTCAGAGCGTGCGTGCGAGCGGGTGTCAGAGCGTGCGTGCGTGCGAGCGTGTGTGCGAGTCAGTGTCAGAGCGTGTGTGCGAGTGTCAGTGCGTGCGTGCGAGCGAGCGTGTGTGCGAGTCAGTGTCAGAGCGTGCGTGCGAGCGGGTGTCAGAGCGTGCGTGCGTGCGAGCGGGTGTCAGAGCGTGTGTGCGAGTGTCAGAGCGTGCGTGCGTGCGAGCGTGTGTGCGAGTCAGTGTCAGAGCGTGCGTGCGAGTGAGTGTCAGAGCGTGCGTGTGAGCGGGTGTCAGAGCGTGTGTGCGAGTGAGTGTCAGAGCGTGCGTGTGAGCGGGTGTCAGAGCGTGCGTGTGAGCGGGTGTCAGAGCGTGTGTGCGAGCGGGTGTCAGAGCGTGCGTGTGAGCGGGTGTCTGAGCGGGTGTCAAAGCGTGTGTGCGAGCGGGTGTCAGAGCGTGTGTGCGAGCGGGTGTCAGAGCGTGCGTGTGAGCGGGTGTCTGAGCGGGTGTCAAAGCGTGTGTGCGAGCGGGTGTCAGAGCGTGCGTGCGAGTGTCAGAGCGTGCGAGCGGGTGTCAGAGCGAGTGTCAGAGCGTGCGTGCGAGTGAGTGTCAGAGCGTGCGAGCGGGTGTCAGAGTGAGTGTCAGCGTGCGTGCGTGCGTGTGAGCGGGTGTCAGAGCGTGCGTGCGTGCGAGTGTCAGAGCGTGCGTGCGAGTGTCAGCGTGCGTGCGTCCGCGTGCCCGCTGATCGTCGGCGTTCACGTCCGGACCACTCGCCCGCGCGCACGTGCGCCCCCTGCAGTAGAATTCGTCACGCGGTCGGCGTTTGTCGCGTGTCCGCGTCGGAACTTGCTTTGGCGGCGTGCGTGGCCAACCGCGCCAATCGGACCTTCGTCCGGCGGGTTCTGCGTTGGCCAAATCGCCGGCCGTGGTTGGCTTTTGCCGTTGCTCGCAGTCGGTGGACCTGGACAAGGAGACGATCAACCTGGAGCACGCGAAGAAGATCTCCGTGGCTGAGCTGCCGCGCTGCGTGCCGGAGGACGCCGCACGCTACCACTTCTTCATCTTCCCACACTCGCACGAGGGGGACCGCCTCGAGTCCACCGGTAGGCGGGGGGGGGTGGCGATGGCGCAGCACCACCACCACTCTACAGCACCACCACCACTCTACAGCACCACCACTCTACAGCAGCACCACCACCACTCTACAGCACCACCACCACCACTCTACAGCACCACCACCACTCTACAGCACCACCACCACTCTACAGCACCACCACCACCACTCTACAGCACCACCACCACCACTCTACAGCAGCACCACCACCACTCTACAGCACCACCACCACCACTCTACAGCACCACCACCACTCTACAGCAGCACCACCACCACTCTACAGCACCACCACCACCACTCTACAGCACCACCACTCTACAGCACCACCACCACCACTCTACAGCACCACCACCACCACTCTACAGCACCACCACCACCACTCTACAGCACCACCACCACCACTCTACAGCACCACCACCACTCTACAGCACCACCACCACTCTACACCACCACCACCACCACTCTACAGCACCACCACCACCACTCTACAGCAGCACCACCACCACTCTACAGCACCACCACCACTCTACAGCACCACCACCACTCTACACCACCACCACTCTACAGCACCACCACCACTCTACAGCACAACCACCACCACTCTACAGCACAACCACCACCACTCTACACCACCACCACTCTACAGCACCACCACCACTCTACAACACCACCACCACTCTACAGCACCACCACCACTCTACAGCACCACCACCACTCTACAGCAGCACCACCACTCTACAGCACCACCACCACTCTACAGCACCACCACCACTCTACAGCAGCACCATCACTCTACAGCACCACCACCACTCTACAACAGCACCACAACCACCACTCTACAGCACCACCACCACTCTACAGCACCACCACCACTCTACAGCACCACCACCACTCTACAGCAGCACCACCACCACTTTACAGCACCACCACCACCACTCTACAGCACAACCACCACCACTCTACAGCAGCACAATCACCACTCTACAGCACCATCACCACCACTCTACAGCACCACCACCACTCTACAGCAGCACCACCACCACTCTACAGCACCACCACCACCACCACTCTACAGCAGCACCACCACCACTCTACAGCAGCACCACCACCACTCTACCGCACCACCACCACTCTAGGGCAGCACAACCACTCTACAGCAGCACAACCACTACTCTACAGCGGCACACTCCACAGCACCACGACCACCACTCTACAGCAGCACAACCCCACCCTGTAGCAGCACAACCAACCACCACTCTACAGCAGCACAGCCCCACCCTGTAGCAGCACCACCACCACTCTACAGCAGCACCACCACCACTCTACAGCAGCACAACCACTACTCTACAGCGGCACACTCCACAGCACAACCAACCACCACTCTACAGCAGCACAGCCCCACCCTGTAGCAGCTCACCTCCATGTGTCCCCATCCCCCTCACCCCTCCAGGGTTTAAGGCCCCAGGGGCCTCAGGGTTTATGTTCTGTGGGTTCAGAGTCAGACCACACCCTGGGCAGGCCCCTACAGCTGGCTGGCTCTCTGGCCCCCCACCCCCTGCCTCCGCTGCTCCCAGCGGCAGTGTGAACACTGCAGCCTGATGCCCCCCCCCCCCCTGCTCCCCCGACCTCCCCCCACCCGCCCTGCCCCCCACAGTGTTCATCTACTCGATGCCCGGGTACAAGTGCAGCATCAAGGAGCGGATGCTCTACTCCAGCTGCAAAGGGCCACTCATCGACACGGTGGAGCAGAAGCTGGGCCTGGACATCGCTCGCAAGGTGAGGGCGGGCGAGAGAGTGAGCGAGTGAGTGGAGGGGGGAGGCGGGGAGAGAGAGAAAGTGAGAGTGAGTGAGTGAGCGAGACAGTGCAGGTTAGAGAGAGAACGCCAGAGGAAGTGATGGAGAGAGTGGGGGGGAGAGAGAGAAAGTGAGAGTGAGTGAGCGAGACAGTGCAGGTTAGAGAGAGAGGGAGAGAGCGAGAGAGAGGGAGGGAGCGGTTGACGGCGTGGCATCCGCAGCGCCGTCTTAACCTGTGGGGTGCACGCACCCCCTGGGGGTGCCCCTCTGGGTGCCCCTGTGGGCATCTCGCACCCCCTGTGGGTGCCCTTGTGGGCATCTCGCACCCCCTGTGGGTGCCCCTGTGGGTGCACGCACCCCCTGTTGGTGCGAGATGCCCACAGGGGGTGTGAGACATGTCCAGAGAGACACCCGTGGCTGTTATATTTCCGTCATCGCCCTGTGCGATGACTGCGATGCTACGCCGAGGCAGCGGCCACGAGGACCGATCATTGCGACTCGTGTGGGACCGTGGATCCGTTAGCTCGACCGCGCTGCGTCCAATCCACGTTCTGAGGACGCTGCCGTGGCGCTGTCGGAGGTCGCCCCGGACGTGCCGCACCGCGGGCTGGCACAACAACAAGTTGCAGCGCGTGGTTTGAAGCTTGCACGTGTGCGTGTGTGTGTGCGTGTGTGCGTGTGCGTGTGTGTGCGTGTGTGTGTGTGTGTGCGCGTGCGTGTGTGTGTGTGTGCGTGTGTGTGTGTGCGTGCGTGTGTGTGTGTGTGTGCGTGTGTGCGTGTGCGTGTGTGTGCGCGTGCGTGTGTGTGTGTGCGTGCGTGTGTGTGTGTGCGTGTGTGTGTGTGCGCGTGTGTGTGTGTGCGTGTGTGTGTGTGCGTGTGTGTGTGTGTGCGTGCGTGTGTGTGCGTGTGTGTGCGTGTGTGGTGTGTGTGTGTGTGTGTGCGCGTGTGTGTGTGTGTGCGTGCGTCTGTGTGTGCACGTGTGTGCGTGTGTGTGTGTGCGTGTGTGTGTGTGTGCGTGTGTGTGTGTGCGTGTGTGTGTGTGTGCGTGCGTGTGTGTGCGTGTGTGTGCGTGTGTGGTGTGTGTGTGTGTGTGTGCGCGTGTGTGTGTGTGTGCGTGCGTCTGTGTGTGCACGTGTGTGCGTGTGTGTGTGTGCGTGTGTGTGTGTGCGCGTGTGTGTGTGCGTGTGTGTGTGTGCGTGTGTGTGTGTGTGTCTGTGTGCGCGTGCGCTCAGATCGAGATTGAGAACCGCGACGAGCTGACGGAGGACTTCCTGTACGAGGAGGTGCACCCCAAGCAGCACGCCTACAAGCCGGCCTTCGCCAAGCCTCGTGGCCCCACGGGGAAGCGGGGCGTCAAGAGGATCACCAAGAGCCCGGGGGAGGGCGGCGGCGACGACTAGGGGGGGGGCGGGGGGGGGGCGGGGGGGTGAGCTGAACGACGAGGTGGCGGCGAGCGGGGTGGGACGTCGTGGGACGTCGTGGGACGTCGTGGGACGTCGTGGGACGTCGTGGGACGTCGTGGGACGTCGTGGGACGTCGTGGGACGTCGTGGGGGTCATCGCGTGGGTGTAAAGTCGGCGACGGGGTGCGACCGGCGAGCCGTCTCGCTCGCGGTCCGCGCCGGCGACGCCGATCCTCGGCGCTCCGTCTCCCGGGGGCGGCCGTTCCCGCCCCTCCCCCGCCCACCCCCGCGTTCCCCTCGCGACACAATCGAAAGGCACCTTTTTCCGTACGGGGGGGGGGTGGGGGATGTGACCGGAGCAACGGACGGAGACTTGACACGAACATCTCCGCTCCCGTCCCCCGGATCTCCGTGAAGCCCAAATATCAACCCGGCACCGCGCATCAATCGCAATATCCAACGTTTTTATTTCCGCCAAGTCTTTTTCCCCACCCCTTCGAGTTTCACTTTGGCTCTGCCACGCCGTCGGTGCGGCCGTGCCGGCGTCCCGTTGGCTCGATGGCGTCGCCAGGACGACAAACGCCTCCCCCCGTGACCTTCAGCGCCAACGTGGTATCGTCCAGATATCCGCGTCGTCACAGCAACACGCCGCGGTGTAGGGGAGCGGGCCGTGCGTGTTCTGGGGGGCCCGCCACCCCCCCCCCGTACCTCCGCGTACGACGCACGGCGGCGACGACGTTCCGGCTCGCTCGGGAAGGGAAGCGGAGGGGGGGAGGGGGGGGGTGAGGGGGCGGGGGCGGAACGTCTACAGTTTCATCGGTTTCTGTTTGTCCACGGACGGCGACGCCGGCAGTGGAGGAGCCGATCCCGGTGCTCGCCGATGGACCAGGCCTCAACATTTGACCGGTGGGGGGGGGGGGCGGGGGCAGGGGAGGGGGCTGGGTGGGTGAGGGGGGGGGGGCTTCTCGCGAATTTAAATGTGCCAAGGGGGGGGGGGGGGGGGGGGGGGGGGGGGTGGTTGCTGAATCGTTTTGCTGGGTGGCTTGGAAAGATTCAAATTTCTGCCGATTTGGCACGAGCACACGTGTGTGTGTACGTGTGTGTGTGTACGTGTGTGTACGTGTGTGTGTACGTGTGTGTACGTGTGTGTGTACGTGTGCGTAGGTGCGTGTGGAGTGGTCGTGCAGTAGGTTAACGCACTGCACTACGAACCCAGCCAGCCCGAGTTCAATTCCCGCTCGCAGCCATCATCAAATACCTGATCCGGTCCTGGGCCTCCTCTAGGTTTACCCGGCCTTAACCTTCATCGAATACCTGGTGCGGTGTCTAAACATCAGCACTGGGGAGACAAAGGTGTCCGGGCGTGATTCTGGACACTCCACCCCCACTCTCGCCTCCTGTGCTGACGTTCACATTTGCTCACTAGCAGCGCTTGCCCCAGCAGCCCAGTGTACGCTGCAGCGGGGGATCTTTGTCTCCTGTATGAAGGTGGATCAAGGGGGGATGGTGCACAGTGAGAATGAATCGCGCATCAACAACGACACAAACCCTGCCGTCGGTTTGGTATTAGCTGGGGCCGCCTCACTGCCGTGTTCTCAAATTCCCATCGGCAGCCTCGCTCGCCTCCCCTTAGCAAGGCGACATTCGCCGCGAAGTGGCACGGACGGCACCACGGTGCCAGGCTAGGTGCGCTTTTGAGGCTGCCGCGGGCTGCGTGGAGAGCTCGCTGGCAGCAGCAGGAGGTCGACTCGCTGAGACGGCCGGCAGCTGCGTACCGCATCCCCCTCGCAGACGCGCTACCACGCTCACCCTCGCTCACCCTCGCTCACCCTCGCTCACCCCACGCTCACCCCACCCTCACCCCACGCTCACCCCTCGCTCACCCTCGCTCACCCCACGCTCACTCTCGCTCACCCCACGCTCACCCCGCGCTCACCCTCGCTCACCCCACGCTCACCCCACGCTCACCCCACCCTCACCCCACGCTCACCCCTCGCTCACCCTCGCTCACCCCTCGCTCACCCCTCGCTCACCCCTCGCTCACCCCACGCTCACTCTCGCTCACCCCACGCTCACCCCGCGCTCACCCTCGCTCACCCCACGCTCACCCCACGCTCACCTCACGCTCACCCCACCCTCACCCCCACGCTCACCCCACGCTCACCCCACGCTCTAGACGCTCACCCATGGGGGCGGGGGTATCACTGCCGTGCGTTTGGTTCTGGAGTGCGGAGGGGGAGGGGCGCCTCCTCGAACGAGCGGAGCCGCGTTGAGGGGCCATTGTGGGAGCCCCGTCATCATCATCGTCGTCATCGTCACCATCGTCATCGTCACCATCGTCGTCATCAACATCGTCACCATCGTCAACACCATCATCGTCACCATCGTCACCATCGTCATCATCGTCACCATCGTCATCATCGTCGTCGTCATCGTCACCATCGTCATCATCGTCACCATCGTCATCATCATCATCATCGTCGTCATCATCGTCAACACCATCGTCGTCGTCACCATCGTCGTCATCATCACCATCGTCACCATCATTAACACCATCGTCGTCATCATCATCGTCACCATCGTCACTATCTTCACCATCGTCAACACCATCGTCGTCATCATCGTCGTCACCATCGTCACTATCTTCACCACCGTCATCGCCCTCATCGTTACCATCGCGTGCACAAAGATCAAACCTCCCACTCGCGCGTGATGACCGTCGCTACGCGATGTGCACTCTGTACAAAGGTGGAGAGACTCTGCCGAGCCTGCTGTGTCGCTCACAGTGCAGTAGATCAACAGAGTAAGAGTAATTTGTATTTTCACATGTATACGTTGTGTGTGTGTGCGTGCCCATGTTTGCGTGTGTTCGTTGTTTGCGTCTCTGGCCGTGTGTAGTGGGGAGCGGCGGCGCAGCGGTTAGCGCACCGCACGGCGAGCCCGGCGACCCGAGTTCGATTCCCCGCTCGCGGCCATCGTCGGCGACGGTTACCAGAAGCGGTCCTGGGCCTCGCCTAGGCCGACTCGGCCTCAAATGAGCGCCTGGTGCGGTGTGTAGACTTCGTCACAGGGGAGACAAAGGCGGCCAGAGAGTGGTGCTGACCACCCCCTCGTGTGCTGTGCCGGCCTTCATAGGTGCCCGTTAACAGCCCCGTACAGCCTGGTGAAGGCTGTACGGGGGATCGCTGTCTCGGTGTGCCTGCCTGCCTGCCCGTGGGTCTGTGTGTGTCTGTGCCTGTGTGTGCCTGTGTGTGTCTGTGCGTGTCTGTGTGTGTCTGTGCGTGTCTGTGTGTGTCTGTGTGTGTCTGTGCGTGCCTGTGCGTGTCTGTGCGTGTCTGTGTGTGTCTGTGCGTGTCTGTGTGTGTCTGTGTGTGCCTGTGTGTGCCTGTGTGTGTCTGTGCGTGTCTGTGTGTGTCTGTGCGTGTCTGTGTGTGTCTGTGTGTGTCTGTGCGTGCCTGTGTGTGTCTGTGCCTGTGTGTGTGTGTGTCTGTGTGTGTCTGTGCGTGCCTGTGTGTGTCTGTGCCTGTGTGTGTCTGTGTGTGTCTGTGCGTGCCTGTGTGTGTCTGTGCGTGTGTCTCTGCCTGTGTCTGTGCGCGCGTCAGTGCCGTCTCTATTTTTGATGATCACCGATGCAAAGGGGGTGTGGGAGGGGCGGTGACGATCGCTGCTTCCCCCCGCGTTACGTTGACAACTAAAACCCGGACGTGTAATCATATAATCGGCGAGGGTGCGAGTTGATGTTGACTCCCTCGCCTCGCACGGGGGAGGTCGTGGGTTCGCCCCCGACCCTGATGACGCTTGCCGCTGTGTGTGGAGTTTGCGCGTCTCTCGCTCTCCCCGTGGCCGCGTGGATTGTTTCGTCTCTTAGAATGAACGTCACGGCGTTTTAAGATTATTTGGCTACTGCTGTAAATGTCCACGTGATGAATGATGAGCCACTTTGTAGAGATATCATTTCTGATGGCCAGGTCGCTTCTGAGAAAGAGCTATTCAGCTCAGTAGGGACCTTACCTGGTAAAATAAAAAAAAGATCAAATATTTGGAGTTCGCGGTGTCTCTCTCCATGGCCGAGTGGATTTCTTTCCTCCGGCTCCTCCGTTTTTTGTTTTTTTTCCTCCACATTTATTTTTAGCGTCGCGGCGTTGAGAGCATTTGTCTTTTGTTTATAAATGTCTACGCGATGGTGACAAGCCACCTCCTTGAGCTGTCATTTGTGATGGCCAGGTCGCGTCTGTGAAAGCGCTACATAGTTGCTTACCGTACCTGGTAAAATACAAATAAAAATGGTTTATAGTTTTTCAGTGTGAGTATCGAGGGGTGGGTTCACCATCATCAGGCATGGGTGGTGGTGGTGGTAAAACAGTGAAGGCAAGGAACTGAATCTGCAGAGCAGCTCCCCCCAGTAAAACATGGAACCATCCTGGGGCCCCCTGCCCCCGATAACTTAGTCCAGCCCTGACCATCAACGTCGTCGTCATCACCGCTGTTGTTCTCACCGAGTCTTCCACGACGTCAATTACCAGCTGCTTGGCACACGCGTCACGGAAACTCGACGTCGCTTGTGCTGAGATGTCCCTGGCTCCCCCCCCCCCCCCGGCACGCGAACGTGGATAACCCTCCCCCCCCCAGACGGCGCCGCTTAACGGACCATCGTGTGTGTGGTGGTTGTGCGAGTGTGCGGTTGTGGTGGTTGTGGTGGTGGTGGTTGGTGTGGCCGGGTTGGTGGTGGTGTTTGTGTTGGTGTAGTCTGTTTACCCGAGTTAATCCGATGATGACCACTGAACTATGTTGTTGTTGTTTATGTTGCGTCGCTTGACAATAACAGACTTTGTGTCGCTATATGTGGTGGTGGTGGTGGGGGGAAAGCTGCTAATCACGCCTCTAATCTATGAATATAATGCGATGTTAATTCAGAGAGAGAGATGAATGAGCGTCGCACTAGCTTTCATTTTGATTTATATATAAATCGTCTCGCAATAAAAAAAAATATCTAATAAAAAATAAAGTGTCCCGGCGTTTGGCTGTGATTTTGCTCGCGGCTCAGAGAGAGGGCGACTCAGAGAGGGCAACTCAGAGAGAGAAAAGGCGACTCAGAGAGAGACTCGGAGAGAGAGAGACTCAGAGAGAGAGGACGACTCAGAGAGAGAAAGGACGACTCAGGGTGACTCGGAGAGAGAGAGAGGGCGACTCAGAGAGAGAGGGCGACTCAGAGAAAGGACGACTCAGAGAGAGGACGACTCAGAGAAAGGACGACTCAGAGAAAGGACGACTCAGAGAGAAAGGACGACTCAGAGAGAGGGCGACTCAGAGAGAGAGGGTGACTCAGAGAGAGAGGACGACTCAGAGTGAGGACGACTCAGAGAGAGAGGGCGACTCAGAGAGAGGACGACTCAGAGAGAGGACGACTCAGAGAGAAAGGGCGACTCTGAGAGGACGACTCAGAGAGAGAGGACGACTCAGAGAGAGAAAGGACGACTCAGAGAGGACGACTCAGAGAGAGGACGACTCAGAGAGAGGACGACCCAGAGAGAGGACGACTCAGAGAGAGAGAGGACGACTCAGAGAGAGGGCGACTCAGAGAGAGAGAGGACGACTCAGAGAGAGGACGACTCTGAGAGAGGACGACTCAGAGAGAGAGGACGACTCAGAGAGAGAGAGACTCAGAGAGAGAGGGCGACTCAGAGAGAGAGAGATAGGACGACTCAGAGAGAGGACGACTCTGAGAGAGGACGACTCAGAGAGAGGACGACTCGGGCCCAGGAG